GAAGAGAATAAAGTAACCTAGCCGAACAAGAATAATTAAGGAGGTTTTTGTTTTTGTTCCTCTTTTATCTACTTTCATATTTTGACCATTGTTTTCTTTTACCTCTCAAACAAAACAAGCATTATGAATCTTCCAGAAAGTGCAACTCATTTGTTTTGATACTTACTTCATCCAATTGCACTTGCAGGAGAATCTTACTATGTCTCAGATAGGTTGAAAGGAAATAAATTTTGAGAGTGAAAACAAAATATTTTTTTAATGAATTATTTGTTTATTCCTAAATTATTTTCATTATGTTTAATATAGTTTTTTTATTAATTTAACCTATAATAAATTATGGTTAATTTTTTACTAGATGTTGGTATAATTCAATTGTTAGTTCACAAAATTCATGTTTGAACATGGGACTAACCCATATCTTCTGCTTCATTCTTTTTTCTTTTCCTTTACTATCTTACTCGCCCTATGTACACTACCAAAGATTTGGTTTCGCAATGTGTTATATAACATGGTGAATCAATATTTGTAAGAAAAATTTGTACTGAATATATATATATATATATATATATATATATATATATATATATATATAAAAGACAATATACGTAAAATTATTTTAATTACTTAAAAAAATTTCACGACATATATTAATGAAAGAAAATTAAACTGGTCCAAAAAATTGGTTATTATTTGTTTAATAAATTATCACTTCTAAAAGAAAGGTCCATTGACCCACATAAATTTGTAAATATTTTGGTCCTATGAATCTAAGGCCAAACTATGAAAAATAAGCCAAATTAATGAGTCTATGAATTAACATATAAAATAAAGGAAGTACGTAAATGTAAGACGGATCAAACGGTGGATGAATCAAGCTGTCTGACCATCCCAATTACATATATATATATATAAGAATATTTTTATATTAAATTGTGGTTTTGACTTTTAATTTTTATCTCAATATTTTTCTCTCTTTTTCCACAATTTTAATTAAAATATTTTAAAAAAATTATCAAAACTTTAATTTTACAAATAGTTTATTTTATTTTTATATTTTATTCTATTAAATTATTTTTTATTGTAAAATAATTATTTTAAGGTTAATATTCAGTTGGTTTAAAATTAAAAACTATGTAAAATTAAAAATTATACTAGAATACTTAATTTCTAAAAGTGTAAACATATAAATAAAATAAAATCACGTTAAATATTAAAGAGAACCACCTGGGAAAATAACATGATTAGAAAGCTATATAGAAAATGTTTAATATTAGGATTATGTATGCAACGGTCCCATGGTCTAGTGGTCAGGACATTGGACTCTGAATCCAGTAACCCGAGTTCAAATCTCGGTGGGACCTTTTTCTTTATTTTTCACTTTTTTTCTATTTTTTTTTCTTTATAATAAACAAAGAGAGGGCTGTTACACAAACCTTTGGGAGAAATAATTCAGAATACACAATTTAATAAATAACAATAGCAGAACATTATAAACAAGTATAAAATAAATTACATTGAAAGTTTATTTATCCTTTTTTTCTAAGCTTTATGAGCATCAAAATTTAACGGTCGTTATCATATATATAAACTTCACTTATTTCAAAAACATAGTTTTATCATTTGAATACACGTTAATGTTTCCCTTTTCTATTAAAAAGTAATATATATTAATAAGATTATAACCATGTACTCAGTATTTAAAGAAAAATTAACTATACACTATTGAGGATATTTATAAGAAAATTATTCAAGTTACATTGTTTATTTTTAAAATTATACCNAAAAATTAATTGAATCACAGAAACCTAAAACTTTGTTCACATAAAGAGGTGGCTGGAAAATTAAAGCCATGTTGATAAATACTGAAACAGCAATGCGAAACTTGCATGAATGAATAAAAGCTAAAATATTTCAAAATCTCAAGGCGTAGAAGGTGGATTGCTAAAAAAAATGCATTGAATCAGAAATAAAAACACGAATGGATTGAGAGAAGGAAACGAAAGTACCTTTGTGAAAGAGTGAGTGTTGCAGTGAGAGGGAGAGGATCCACCGTAGACACGAATTGCAATGAGAGGTTAACGGCTGAGATAGAATAAAATACGAAGTCTAAACACATCATGGTAGTTTTTGTTATTGCTTTTTTAATTTGATTGTTGTAAAATGAAAAAGTATTTAAATACAAAAATAAAGATAGTTATTTTCCTTAATTTCAATAAGGTTAAATTTAAGATACTTTAATTTAAATGAAAATCCATCACCTTTTTATTTTATTTTGAGTGAAGTACGATTTTACTAGCCTTTTATTTTAATTTATTTATTATCGTTAACTTTTTTGTTAATTGAGAACTAACTATTATTTTATCTTGTTATCTTTCATATTGCATCCATATTTTAAGAAATATAAAATTTTGTGATTAAAATAAAATAATATTAGACTAATATAAAATAACAAATGATTTTTATTACTTCAATATTATTTTATATTATACATAAAATTTCAATTTCTTAGCACATGGAAACAAGACAAGAGAACAACCATACTACTCTATTAACAAAAAAAGTTAAACAAAATTTAATTAAAAATGAAAAAAAAATAATCACTCACAAAAAGTTAACAAAAACTGGATTAAATTTTTTAAAATTTACAAAAAAAAATTAAAACTTAATTAACTCTGCTATGTTTAACTCTTCATTTATACACACAAAATGTATCTTCAATCTAGTAAAATCATAAACAATAACATAAATATCAATTATTATTTTTTAAATATTTAAAAGAACAAATGTTGAAATGGTAAATTATTGTATTACTAAAAGATATCCTTTTCATCCTTTAATGTAAAAATTTCCAGCTACTTTATTGAGAAAAAAAAAATGAAAGATATTTTATTGTTTTAGAAAAATTGAACGTGTAAATATATATAATGTTATAATTTACAATTAGTTAATTGAATAATTAAATAAGAGAAACTAATGAGTCAAAATATATAGTAATTTTTTCTTAAATGCCAAATTAATTTTATACATAAAAAGTAGGTAAGTAGCATANTATATATTATATAAATTATCATAAAAAAATATTCTTACTGAGACATAGAATTGAAGGAGGCAAATCCTAACAAAAAAAAAAGTTATTTTAAAAATTTCTCTTAAATGTAAAGACTAAAATTTTAAAATATTCCAGTTTAAATTATAATTACGTCAAATCCTTTTGTCAGTAGGTGAGTCACACTCCATCAAGCTCAATAACTTCTAAACTTAGAAAATAATGAATTTGACACAAGTAAATACATAGTCTGCTCGTAAGTAAAAGACGTTAATTCTTGAATAGTTCTCCTGTTAGGCATACAACATCAAATCTCTGGTTCCGCAATCAAACTTCACACATATCTAGACTCTCAATTCAGAGTTTATTCAAGCATGAATATTTAGTTCAATGTTTACACTAAAGAAGGCAGGTTTCATTGTTCTTGTGAAGGAAAACTAGAGAAGACATTTAATCCAAATAGATAAACTCTGCTGTTTTTATATAAGGAAAATAACTCATTTGCTTACAAAAAGACCACAAATTTAGATTTAAAAACTGATAGAACATCAGCAGACAAGTTGCAACTTCAAGATGTACAATCGGAAGTTTCAAGAATGATAACAAACTTTAAAAGAAACATATACACTGAAATTATATCTTAACGATTACAAGAGAAACTAAAAAATGTTCTCCAGTTTATTGGTCATAGATGGTAAATAGAAGATACAAACAACACAATCAGTTATATCAATTCCTCTCTATGATCTTCTCCAAACATAAGTCAGGAAACTGAAAACCATCCCTGCTAAATTTACTCACCAAAGAATGAATTGTGCTTTCTTTTAGTCTATATCCTATTCTAAACATGAACTCTAAAACAACCAAAATGTCATCCAACCTATCTTCTTGTGATAGACTGTTAATCAGGAACTCAAAAGTCTGTTCCTGGGGTTTCAGCTTCCAACTCGGCATGTTTAACAACCACTCCATTCCCTGCAGAGAATGTCCTTCTTTGCATAACCCAGTTATAATATAATCATACGTACTGGCTATTGGTTGCAAATGCTTATCCTGCATATCCTTCCACAGCCTAATCGCACCCTGTGTGTCTCCTTCTTCACATAATCTTTTAATAAGAGGATTAAGAGAGGAAACTGATGGCTTTAATCCCTGTGCCAGCAGTTCATTTAATAATTTTCTTGCCTGAACCAGCTCCCCATTATTGCACAAGCCTTTAATAAGAGAATTGTATGTAATCAAATCACGAACAATGCCCTTCTGAACCATTTCTTCAAACAAGCTATGTGCTTCATCTGTCCTTCCATGCAAACACAAACCTGAAATCATTGTGGTATAGCAAACTGTGGTTTCTGCATAACCTCTGCTGCACATATCCTCAAAGATCTTCCTTGCCCCAACAAGATCACCAATCTTAAAATACCGATGCATCATTATATTATAGGTGTATTCATTTGGCTGAAATCCTTTTTTAATCATCTCAAACCACATTTTCCTGGCTTCCCCAGGCATTTCCATCTCACAGAGACCCTTGATCACAGTTGTGTACATAACCCTGTCTGGGAAATATCCTCTGTCCTTGAGATCATTAAATACCCGGAAACCCTCAGAGTTCTTCCTTTTCAGGAGTCCATTTATGATTTCTTGATAAGTAAAGATATCGGGATTGCATTGTCTGGCAATCATAATATGAAGGATCTCAGATACTCGAGCATATTGTCTCTCCTTACAAAACCCCCTAATAAGTGCATTGAAAACAACATTGTCAGGAAGTAAGCCATTTTCCAGAAGTTCCCTAAGAAGTTCATACCCTTTCAAAGCTTTGTTTTCTGCACAGAATGCCATTATCAGATATCCAGCAGTTTCCACATTAATGCTAGCAGCAACACCGGATTCCATCATATGTTCATACAATGTCGAAACAAAATCAGTCCTCCCAGCCCTCCAGCAACTCAAGAGACATGCATTCCAAGTTGCTACGGAGGGGCAAAACCCAACCTGTTTCAACATATCAACTGCATCTTCAACCATCCCAGCCCTTCCGAGACACTGAATATAACCCTCCAAGGAAGCAGGCTCCGGAGTGAAGCCCGGGTAATCAAGCAATAACTTTGCTGTTTTGCAGGCTCCAGCATCCACAAGCGAACAGAAGAGGGCACTGCAAGATGATTGGTCAGGTGAGAAACCACAAGAAGAGCACAGCCAGTGAAAGAAACGGAGGGAGAGGAAGGCATTGTTCTGGTGGTTAAGATAAAGGAGGAAGAAAGAGGGTTCAGAAAAATTGAAAGATGGATACAGGGAAAGAAGGGTGTCCTCCCATCGGGCCTTTGTTCGTGTAATCCTACAAATTTCATGGATAAAGTTGCAATCTTTAGCATCGAGGTTTTCGGTGGGAAGATCATGATACCCTAGTTTGGTCTCTGAGGAGAGGTTTCGGAATTGGGCAAATCTTCGACAGAAGAGGGTCACAGAAGAATACATTGGAGTTCCCCTCACCATTGTCATCTTGCAGCTCAAAAAATTAGTATAAGAGGAAGAAACAAAAATCAAATGAAAAAGCTTGGTGGAGCTTTTCGATGGACCTGAGCTCCATCAGACTAGCCCCTGCCCAAACCACTGAACAGGAGGGGATTATGAGTGTACAAGGTTCCGCCAACTCCTTGCTACCATTTCATTATTTATGAACTTCAGTGTTCAAACACACAACCATTGAAATTTAATCCATCAGAAGTAGATTTGTTGTAGCAGAGAGCTGAGAAATCTGCTATTGAATTGAAAAAGACAGATTATAGTTCTCAATTCAATTATCCATCTGCTTGACAAGATCAAAGTCAAAATGAAGCATGTATTTAGTCCAGAAAGAAGATAATTTTTCTCAAACTCAATCAGAATCAATTAGCATACCCTAATATTATCATTAAGCCAAATAACTTTTCGGACTCCGAACTAGAATAATTAACAAATTGAAATCTTAGGAATTCTCAAGACCTGAATAGTGTTTTACCCCAAAAATTAATTGAATCACAGAAACCTAAAACTTTGTTCACATAAAGAGGTGGCTGGAAAATTAAAGCCATGTTGATAAATACTGAAACAGCAATGCGAAACTTGCATGAATGAATAAAAGCTAAAATATTTCAAAATCTCAAGGCGTAGAAGGTGGATTGCTAAAAAAAATGCATTGAATCAGAAATAAAAACACGAATGGATTGAGAGAAGGAAACGAAAGTACCTTTGTGAAAGAGTGAGTGTTGCAGTGAGAGGGAGAGGATCCACCGTAGACACGAATTGCAATGAGAGGTTAACGGCTGAGATGGATTAAAATACGAAGTCTAAACACATCATGGTAGTTTTTGTTTTTGCTTTTTTAATTTGATTGTTGTAAAATGAAGAAGTATTTAAATACAAAAATAAAGATAGTTATTTTCCTTAATTTCAATAAGGTTAAATTTACGATACTTTAATTTAAATGAAAATCCATCACCTTTTTATTTTATTTTGAGTGAAGTACGATTTTACTAGCCTTTTATTTTAATTTATTTATTATCGTTAACTTTTTTGTTAATTGAGACCTAACTATTATTTTATCTTGTTATCTTTCATATTGCATCCATATTTTAAGAAATATAAAATTTTGTGATTAAAATAAAATAATATTAGACTAATATAAAATAACAAATGATTTTTATTACTTCAATATTATTTTATATTATACATAAAATTTCAATTTCTTAGCACATGGAAACAAGACAAGAGAACAACCATACTACTCTATTAACAAAAAAAGTTAAACAAAATTTAATTAAAAATGAAAAAAAAATAATCACTCACAAAAAGTTAACAAAAACTGGATTAAATTTTTTAAAATTTACAAAAAAAAATTAAAACTTAATTAACTCTGCTATGTTTAACTCTTCATTTATACACACAAAATGTATCTTCAATCTAGTAAAATCATAAACAATAACATAAATATCAATTATTATTTTTTAAATATTTAAAAGAACAAATGTTGAAATGGTAAATTATTGTATTACTAAAAGATATCCTTTTCATCCTTTAATGTAAAAATTTCCAGCTACTTTATTGAGAAAAAAAAAATGAAAGATATTTTATTGTTTTAGAAAAATTGAACGTGTAAATATATATAATGTTATAATTTACAATTAGTTAATTGAATAATTAAATAAGAGAAACTAATGAGTCAAAATATATAGTAATTTTTTCTTAAATGCCAAATTAATTTTATACATAAAAAGTAGGTAAGTAGCATAATAGAATAAAAATACATAAAAGAAATATGGGTTAAATATGTTTTTAGTCCCTAAACTATTGGTCGTTTCTGGTTTTCGTCCCTGTTGTAAAATAAGGTACAATTTGGTCGTCATTAACGTTCGTTTTAGTCCTCGAAAACTAAACACGGTTTAAAAATTTGGTCCTCATTTAGCAAGAGGACTAAAACCAAAATTCCGAAGATTAAAACGAACGTTTCGAAAAGAATGAGGACCAAATTGTACCTTACTTTAAAAGAGGGACGAAAACTAAAAACAGCCAATAGATTAGGGACTAAAAGCATATTTAACCCAAGAAATATATTGCTTAAACTTCTTATATCTTGTAAAATATTATCTTGTTCTGAAAAAAATTGATATTTAACTGACTGACACATTTATAATGTTTTAAAACAGAGTGCAAAAAAAATGGTTCACTCTTTCTATGTATGCTTTCTTACTATAGATTCTTAATCATACGCAATATAATGTTTTCTAGAAATTTGAAGTGTGTTTTCTCCTTAATCATACACAATATAATGTTATTGTAAATAATATACATTTCTTTAATTAATACATTCCAAACTTTATCTTCATAAGATTGGATTCTAACAATTAAATTTTAAATACATTTTAGATCATCCTAATTAAATATATTAGTATATATTTTTTCTTAAGACATAAGAAATACATATTATTGTCATCATCTTATCTTATATTATTATAATGACGAGTGTGTAAAAACAACCAATTGAGTAGTAAACAATTAGCATTGCTAGCCTATTCTATTTCTTTATTTTTTTGTTCTCTTACCAATTAAACTGTAAAACAAATATTGGAACTTATAACAAAACTTGGATCAAACAATGTGCTACACACAAATGTATATATCTCACAAAATAATAATAATAATAATAAATACATGAATTGGTGTAATATTGTCTCAAAAGAATAAGTTTTAGCTTCCTACACAAACCAAAGTACTACATGTCAGCAATTTTTCCATTATTTACAGCATAAACACAACTTTCATGAATCAATAATATCTGGAAATCATGAAATTTCACAAGAAACAGAAACAGAACAAATGAACTGTCTTAGAAGCAAGAGTTACTGGAACAGTTGTAGCTTTAAGTGTGGGGAAGCTTTATGATTTTTTGTAGAACCACAGTTCTAGCTCTTATAATGTCTCTGCTACAAGTATCAGCTTGCCCTCCTAAATCTTCAACATTCTTCATAAAAACTTCCAACTTCTTCTTGATCTCTTCTATTGCAACCTTCACAGCATCATCCTCAATGGCAAATTTCACATTCTGCAGAAGAGATTCAATCTCAATTTCCAACCTATCAATGAGGACCCGAATGTTGTCCAAGTCCTTTATAGCAACATAGGTTCCAACTTGCATCGAGACAATTACTTCCTTCTGTCCTCTCACAACAGTTTCATAGTTCTTCAACAAGGAGTCAATCCACTTTCCCATTGAACCAATTGGGACTGCAGTAACAGCAGCTAGAGCAGCTGCAACATGTGGAGTAGCAATTGCTGCAGCCACAATTGAACAGATCAACACAGCAGCAACTGTAGCCACAAATATCATACTTGATACTTTCCTCCAGGTGTGGATTTGTTTAGCTTTCTTATCAAGCTTGCTTTGTCTCACTCGCAATTTCTCAAGCATGAGTATCTGCTGGTTGTAAATAGATTGATACATTTGGAAGAATTCTTCACTGAAAGGGTCACCAGCTGCCTTGAAATTCTTCAGTTCCTGTAATGTTCTGATATAGCGCTTCTCTCCCAACCCGGTTTCCTCCTCAAATTGTTGAAGGGCCACAAGAATAAGCAATTGGCTATCCCTGACTCGTTTCAGGCCCTTCTCCAATGCAGTGCAGAAATCTAGAGTCTGCAAGCTGTTATCAAAGTACTCCTCAACAAGTTCAAACAGTTCTCGATTCTTCCATATATCTTTCTTGCAGTCTAAGATCACCTTGACAACTTCCTGATTCATTTCCAGAAGGCACTCTGTGACTTGTTTCAGAGACTCAAAAGAAAGGGACCGAACCTCAACTCCAACTGCCAGAGTATTCATGACTTGATTCGCTCGAGCTTGGACTGTGGTATCAAAAGACTGCAAATCAGAATCAAGTTTCCATGCATCCTCATATGACCTCAGTTCAGTTGCCATATCTGTATTGAAGTTAATTCCGGATGATGTTTCATGGGTCTTCTTGCTCATGTGTAACCCCATTCTTTCAATTCAAATGATCTAATAAAGAATTCAAACTCAGTACCTGTTTATCAGAAGAAGAAATNAAATTTGAAGTGTGTTTTCTCCTTAATCATACACAATATAATGTTATTGTAAATAATATACATTTCTTTAATTAATACATTCCAAACTTTATCTTCATAAGATTGGATTCTAACAATTAAATTTTAAATACATTTTAGATCATCCTAATTAAATATATTAGTATATATTTTTTCTTAAGACATAAGAAATACATATTATTGTCATCATCTTATCTTATATTATTATAATGACGAGTGTGTAAAAACAACCAATTGAGTAGTAAACAATTAGCATTGCTAGCCTATTCTATTTCTTTATTTTTTTGTTCTCTTACCAATTAAACTGTAAAACAAATATTGGAACTTATAACAAAACTTGGATCAAACAATGTGCTACACACAAATGTATATATCTCACAAAATAATAATAATAATAATAAATACATGAATTGGTGTAATATTGTCTCAAAAGAATAAGTTTTAGCTTCCTACACAAACCAAAGTACTACATGTCAGCAATTTTTCCATTATTTACAGCATAAACACAACTTTCATGAATCAATAATATCTGGAAATCATGAAATTTCACAAGAAACAGAAACAGAACAAATGAACTGTCTTAGAAGCAAGAGTTACTGGAACAGTTGTAGCTTTAAGTGTGGGGAAGCTTTATGATTTTTTGTAGAACCACAGTTCTAGCTCTTATAATGTCTCTGCTACAAGTATCAGCTTGCCCTCCTAAATCTTCAACATTCTTCATAAAAACTTCCAACTTCTTCTTGATCTCTTCTATTGCAACCTTCACAGCATCATCCTCAATGGCAAATTTCACATTCTGCAAAAGAGATTCAATCTCAATTTCCAACCTATCAATGAGGACCCGAATGTTGTCCAAGTCCTTTATAGCAACATAGGTTCCAACTTGCATCGAGACAATTACTTCCTTCTGTCCTCTCACAACAGTTTCATAGTTCTTCAACAAGGAGTCAATCCACTTTCCCATTGAACCAATTGGGACTGCAGTAACAGCAGCTAGAGCAGCTGCAACATGTGGAGTAGCAATTGCTGCAGCCACAATTGAACAGATCAACACAGCAGCAACTGTAGCCACAAATATCATACTTGATACTTTCCTCCAGGTGTGGATTTGTTTAGCTTTCTTATCAAGCTTGCTTTGTCTCACTCGCAATTTCTCAAGCATGAGTATCTGCTGGTTGTAAATAGATTGATACATTTGGAAGAATTCTTCACTGAAAGGGTCACCAGCTGCCTTGAAATTCTTCAGTTCCTGTAATGTTCTGATATAGCGCTTCTCTCCCAACCCGGTTTCCTCCTCAAATTGTTGAAGGGCCACAAGAATAAGCAATTGGCTATCCCTGACTCGTTTCAGGCCCTTCTCCAATGCAGTGCAGAAATCTAGAGTCTGCAAGCTGTTATCAAAGTACTCCTCAACAAGTTCAAACAGTTCTCGATTCTTCCATATATCTTTCTTGCAGTCTAAGATCACCTTGACAACTTCCTGATTCATTTCCAGAAGGCACTCTGTGACTTGTTTCAGAGACTCAAAAGAAAGGGACCGAACCTCAACTCCAACTGCCAGAGTATTCATGACTTGATTCGCTCGAGCTTGGACTGTGGTATCAAAAGACTGCAAATCAGAATCAAGTTTCCATGCATCCTCATATGACCTCAGTTCAGTTGCCATATCTGTATTGAAGTTAATTCCGGATGATGTTTCATGGGTCTTCTTGCTCATGTGTAACCCCATTCTTTCAATTCAAATGATCTAATAAAGAATTCAAACTCAGTACCTGTTTAACAGAAGAAGAAATTAGTTCCATCAAGAAATTCCTTAACTGATAGGTAAAGTTCAAAGGTGTCCAGTTTGTGATTAAAGGTGCACAAATAATCTTGGCCTAATCCCACTAAAATTTGAGGGTAAATACAATCTATTTCAAACAAGCTAATATAGACATTGCTACATACATGACAAACCCTAACATATCACAATCAACTTCAAACAAATCAACTAGTGGATACAAATGCTATTTCAGATATTTGCACCCATAAGTAACATTACCACATCACAATCAACTTCAAACAAACAAATACTCTGTAGAATTTTTTTCACACATTAAAAACTTCGCAACATCAACATCAGCATCAAACAAATAAAGAAACCCTTCACCACACAAATCACAATACTTCATTTACAAAGAATTGTGAACAATTAGAACAAAACAAGAAGACCCAGATGACCAATTTTGCAAAATACAAACCTTTGAGAGCAATTGAAGAAAACAAGAATTTGCAGAGAGTGATTACTTTTGATCTAATGATAAATTATGGCGTCACCCTTTTGATCTATTTCTGAAAAGGGAAAAGAATTTCAGAGGCTCAATGTAGGGAATTTAAGACCTTGAAGAAAGCTGAACACCTGTTACTTATTTACCACAAATTTGGGGGCTTTGAGATGTGAGCCAAACAATAACTTGCAAGCATAAGAAAAATTCTGCACAAACGCGTGAAGCAAACCAAAACAAGCTAAGATCGTACTCTTAACGCGCAAAAAGCATTGAAGAGAAACAGTGACAAGGGTTCACGAAAACAGAAACAAAGTGAGTAGCACAAGTGTGAACGTAGGACTTATTGAGTAACATAAAACGTAGGACTTATAGAGTATCTGTTGAGACGTGTTTTTGATTTAGAAGACCCCTCTAAAATCTTGTTTTTATCCACGTGACAAATACTTTATTATGATAAATACTTTATAGTATACTGATGAAATAATTATAAACAAATTATTTTTATTGTTTTTGTCTTTTTCACTAATATAAATGTAAACAATTTTAGACACATATAATAATAATAATTTAATTAGATAATAACAAAATATTTATATTATCAATATATATATATATATATAATTAGATTTATTTCCTTTTATATCAAATGTCAAGAAAAAGACATCATGTTTGTCAATAAAGTTTGATGAGATTATGTATTATTTCATGAAAAAGACGTAAATGTTAGCTTTATCTAAATAATATTTCGTCCCCATTATCTGGAAACAAACAAAAACATTAAATTGTTCATTTAACTCTGGATCTAACCATGATTAAACAAATGGAACATTCTAAATTATACATCAAAATCTGTTATATTAAGATGGTATTAGAGAAAAAAAGTACTAGATAAAAAGGAGGATAAGATAACATTCCAAATTGATGCAAGACCCGTGGAAGTTGAATTTTGGAAGCATCTCAACTTAGTTACTTGCTAGCCAAGACAAATATCAAATTACACCATACACTCAAATAAAAAGTAAAATAAAACAATAAAGTTTGAAATTATTTTTAAGTTTTTAAATAGCTTTTTATTAATGGTATTTTTAGATTAAAATGAACCTCAAGTTCATAGTTGTTATTTTCTTATTTCTAGTTTCAAGACAGTCCTATGGCTAATAGATGGGTAGATTGAGTCTTAGAAAATTTCATTACAAAAATATTTAACTAATTTTACTTCATTAACAATAATAACAATAATAATAATAATTTTAATTATATATATTTATATATTAAAAAATATCATTTTTTACATAGATAAAAAAACATTAAAAATGTCAAATGAAATCCTCTTTGTTTTAATTTTGATAAAAAAAATAATTACTTTACATGAGTATAAATTTCATTTTTTAAAATTAGATATAGAATATATACATATTTGTTTCCTTCTTATAGCTATTTTTAATTCTGAAAATTAAAGTTTTATGTATATATATTTGATTGTTTTTATTTTTATAATTATTTAATCTTTATAAAAAAAATTATTTAATTTTTTATTTTATATGTCTAAAATTATAATTTTGTTTTCGTGATATAAAAAGGAAAATGTATATCATGTAGTCATTGAATACATAATAATATTACATTCTATTTGTATTTTTTTTATTTTTTTAATAAAATTATGCAATTAATATTATATATGGACACGTTTACTATAAAAATTGGAATGAAATAAAATTTTATATCCATTTAAAGATGAAAATAATTTTTTACTTCAAAATTAACCATAAATAAGTATTGTAAATAATAAAGAGCTGTATTAGCTTAAGTTTGTATTAACTCTACATTGATTCCATCGCCCTTATATGAATTCACCAATCAAACCTAAAGTTGCTCAGATCTAACCAGAGACTTTCACCATTAACAATCCAAATTCTTATGAAATTATAAACTTCATTCAGCTACTTAAAAAAATTAGTATTATTATTATTATAAAATAAAAAAATATTTTGAATATTAATAAATTGAAATCCATGACTTTAATTTTATTAAATTTATTATTTTTATATATTATACCAAAAAAATTAGTTATAAATGATCCAATATTCTAACTATTTAAAAAGATATACATATTAATTATATATACGTTATGAATAGTTACCTTTTTTTTAACTCGAGTTTCTTCTCAAATACGTTATGATAGAGTTTCTTCTCAAATACGTTATGATAGAGGAGTGTTGAGTATTTAATATTATCATTTTAATCTTATTAGTTTATTATAAAAAATAAAAATTATTTTGAATATTAATAACTTTGAAATCTATGACTTTAATTTTATTAAATATATTATTTTTTTATATATTATACTAAAAAAATTAATTATAGAGAATCAAATATTCAAACATACTCCAACTACTTATATAGATATACATGTTAATTATATATAGGATATGAATAGTTACTTTTTTTTCTCTTAATGTTTCTTCTCAAACTTCTCAATGATAAACATCTTCTTGTCTTATATTATTTGCTTTAGTATAATTTACTTTTTTACATTATGTTTTTCTGTTGGAAGTTTTTAACTAGAAGTAAGACAGTTTAAAATATATAAATAAATGTAAATTTTATTTTATCTTTATATTTAAGAGAAACTTTTTTATTGTAAAATTTGTATTATAAAAAATAAAGTAATATTATGAATAAAATAAAAGTTAACTTATATATACATAAGATTAAAAAACCTAGTATATATTGTTACACAAATAAAACATAATCGACTTCCCAACAAACGTCTTTACTTTAATTTAAAAGAAATAAAAATTGAAATTACGTACACCAATTCTTGATAAATAAGTTAAACCATATTTTATAAAAATTTAGAGGCAATTTGTTTATGCTTTTTGAAAAAACATTTTTCTAATAAAACAAGCAAAAATCTTATTTTTGTTTATGTGCCTGCTTAAATATTTAAAAATTAAGTAATTTTCAGTTTATTAATAAGTAATTACTATGCGCTTCCTAAATTAATAAAAAAAATTACATATTTCAAAAATACTTATTTAAAGTTTAAGTAAACTCACCCTTAATATCTTGTCATTAGTGTTTATTTGACACGAGAGATTTTTCTCCAATTACGAAGAAAAAAACAATATTATTACGACACATTTTTACATTCATTTGACACATAATACATTCATTTGACACATAATACAAGCATAAAATAGTCGTAAAAGTGTAAATTTTTATATTTTTTCAAGAAAAAGGAGAATAAAAAATAAGTAAAAATAGTGTCAAATAAATGTAAAGTTTAAGTTGGTCAAATAATCATTTTCTATGGAAAATTGAGCTGACACAGCAATATATCTATCTGACATAGATTAGATTCCCAATCAAAGAAAGATTACAAGCAAAAAGTAAGAAAGGGAAAGAAAAAAGAAGCAACAAAGAGGCATGAGCTTGAACATTCAAAATGAATATGAACAGAAAATTTTGCACTTGAGGAAGTGCACTTGCACAGATAACTGAAAGCAGTAACAATAATTTCTTTCCAGTGATTGAGTTACCAGAAAGGCAATGGATACTCTACAGCACAGAGAAGAGTTACTGAGAAGTGAACTGCTCTTCTAACTTTTGCTTTAGTCTTCCCTTTTTAGACTTCTTTAACTCCCATGGTGGCAGGCACCCTTTATAGTGAGAGTGCATAAATAATGAAGACATTGAAACTTCCTTATGAGGCATTGAGATTGATGACAAGCAACTGAAAGCAGTTCTCAGTCTTCTTTTCTCACTATCACACCCTTGAAAGTTTGGATCATGCTCAACAGTGGAAGTTTTAAGAGCATCAGGGAGTATGCAGTTGCAGAAGGAACCTGCAAGGAGGACAAAAACTCAGTTCTAATAATGCAAATGCTTTGCAGAACAAAAAGTGACACAATCTGGAGTATAAAAATATGCCACATACCTATTCTTGCCAGACGATTGACCCATTTTGGTATAGAATTTCCTGTTAGCTTGTAACAAATATCCTCACAGAAATGGTTGCAGTTCTTGACAATCAAATGATAAGTATCACCATTGTAATTTGCAGACTGACGTTCCATGAACTCTCTAATCTGGAAGGGATCTAAATTAGTAGTTCCCATGAATATGGACTTCCTAAACTTAAAGCCAGGACACTGCCGAGGTTCAACCTCAAAGACACCACTTGTTGGATAGTCATGGGCTCCAAATGCATATTCTACTCCATAAACTGTCAGCATAATAACTCCATTTTAGAAACTTTTCCGGGAATCCATGACTATATTCTTTATTTGTCATAGATACTGATAAGAGTTCAAGGTGAGTTAGAAGTCTCCCATTATATAAAAATGAATAAGATGACTAATATATAAGTAGAAGGATCCATATATCCATATATCCATTCTCTTAAGATTTTAGGTTTGAAGTAGTATTTTAGTCTCTTTATATAGGTTTGTTCACAATTTCTTGGTATCAAATCTCCTGCTGTCTCTTCTCATGAAAAACCTCACAGATATAATATACATAACCCCCTTCCTCAAAATATGAAGAAGTATCAATGTATTATAATCTAGCAAAACTCTAGGCACATATTCTTTTCTAAAATAATGAAACAGTTTTGGATTTTTTGAAAAGGTTTTAACAGTCAGCTAACCTTCAACACCAGAGTGGAAAATACCAAGGCCAGCCCAATACATATAACCATTTACTGTTGTCAAATCATAGACATTGAGATAGACAGGTGTGTTCCCTGGTATGTTGCCGGCGGATTTCACTTTAGAGAATATGCAGAAGGGGGTCACTGATTTGTCTCTAAGACGAAGACGCACAACAGAGGGCCAACCATTTTTGAAACCTGATTTCATTGTAGGAGTGAACTAAGAAAGCAGTCAATATCTATATCCTACCTGCATAAACATAAATACCAACAAAAATTCATTTTCACAAAGACCATGTTATTGACAACATCAAAACTGAAAGCACATCATTTTACTCAAGACAGAATCATTGAGCTAGGATTTCAACTGATAACTATGCATTACAGTAAAAAAATGGATGACACTTATTTTTTCTTGAACACATTAACTGAAAGAAAATGGATCTCTTCAACCATATAGTTTTCTCCAGTTAACATCATTCACCAATCTGTTGCAATGATACTTTCACATGCATGTCTTCCATTCATGAAAAATGTTCATAACACTTTCTAGAGCATGGACGAGACTCGTTTTTCCCCCTTTTGCCATGTTCAACATCTTTTAATCAAACTGACATCAGTGAACATTCTACTTACTGAACATAAAAGAATTTGCAACTTTTTCTTCATTTTCTTTCATTGATGCTGTTTGCATTAGGCATGAATGAAGAAAATAATCATTTTCGTCACATTTTCTAGTTTAAGGTTTGTTCTTCTGTTCTGCATGTCACTTTTAAGCTATGGAGCAAGGAGGAGATTACAGTTCAAGAGACAAAATATAACATTCAAACATTGAGACATGCACCACAATGGATAAAAATAATTAGCATCAGGAATTCGGGGCAACCATGAAATTTATATTTGTTTGTGTTTACAGACATATATAGATATAAGAGATATCAGTTAACCAGTAACAATTTAAAGGATATTGCAACAATAACAATGCCTTTTCTTTCCCACTGAGTGGCATCACGTAAATGAATTAAATGATGCAATAATGATTATTATGAAATAATGTCTATAGACAAACCATTAACCTTTATATCCTTCCTAATGGTTCTTCACTTGGACGTTTTCTTAGTCTCTTTATACCTCTATCAATAGAACTACTTTCCATAAACACTTCAGAAAAGAAAACTAAGAAGAACAAACGAAGTGAATGCCTCCATAAAAGCTTTATGATAGAACTTTTACAAATTAACTAATACATAAACTAATCTGAGCTCACCGAGAAACTCATCCTATTTTCCTATTTTTTCTCTACTAAAAGTGTTTATGGGGAAGTCTGCTGAAACAAACGTTTTATAAGTCATCTCCACACATGCTCAATTTTTTCTCCAATGCATTGATTCTCAATCCCATCTTGTCTAATATAACTAATACTCTCTTCTGCCACATTGAGCTGATTCTCTTGTTGGCTCCTTTTATGAGAGTGTTAATGCCTAAAAGGTATAGTTCTGGCTTAAAGGGAAAACTGGAGATGTCTTCTAGCTGGTTAATTTGAGGCTTTACTTGTCCACAAGCTGGTGAATCTTCTTCCTACTTTCATTTAAAAAGTGGTCCAATTCACACGCTTTAAACAAATGATATTAATGAGTTAATAACAAGAATAATAAAGTTTAGTTAAATTGAAAAAAAGAGAGGATCTGTGAGGTATAGATAAATGTACAGGAACAAGTATGAGTGTGATGAATCTGACCAACATTGAAGGACAAGACACTCAAAGTGAACAATTTCAACATATTGGTCAATAAATTAAAGTTAAGTTGAGAAATACATAAAACAGAACTCATTCTAACCAATTCAAAATAGATTAAATGGAAATCTGCGGGTTAACAGTAACAAATGTGCCTGAATCTGCAAGGTCTATTGTATAGATCTGATGTGACTTCTGCGTTTTATGAGCATTACATGGACATTTAATGTACTTCTACTAAGAACAGCATAAAATGCAGCAACATAACCAATTCAGAAGAGCTATCAGCAAGAGAGATCTTCCATATTGAAACACCATAACAGCTTCCACTCATCTCTGAAAGCCTCCACAAGACTCTCTTTAAAAACATAATAATAGCATTAGACAAATACCAGTACATTAAGTTTGAGAAATATTCTTAATGGGAAGACCATCATTATCCAGAGGTTATGCATTGCCAACTATACCTGATACTTATACAACAAAAAGTCAGTTTGAGCTACTAACTACTTTAATACAACCCATTAGCACCACCTATACCTTATTATCTCTTGACTCAATGCACACTATGAACCCTGGTATCTTAACAACAACCTTCACTGCTTGTCCACTAGTTACAACCACTTTATTTTTTCAGGGGGAAGCTCATCATAGGCTTTACAAGGCGAGATGCAGAGGGGATAAGGAAATGAAAAACGGGGAGAGCGTGTTGCTAGAGATCGAATCCAAAAACCTTAAACAACTAAATCTACTGGAGACAACTTACCATGTTTTGAACTGAAGCTATAGGTTCTCCGGGCTTTTCCTTGCTTCAACTAAGACCATAACAGTTGAACTTATCTAAGAGCTTTCGGAACAACAACAAAACTTATGTATGCAGCAACTACTAAGAGTATGGATGTAACATCAAGAATAGAATACAAACAAGTCAAGGGTTCAATTTGAGCGTTTTCATCGGATATAAAGTGAATTTGGAGCAAATACTACATGGAAAAAAAAAGAAGTAATTTTAAAATCAGCTCCAATCTGACAACTGATGTAATGTAACAAATACAGATAAACAACCTCGTTAAGCCATCCCAGATTCCACAAGAAAAATGGCAATAACCATTTTTTTTCCTTTTAAATGAAGCCAAATGATGGATTCATAAATCATAACATGTTAAAGTTCCAACTTTCAAGCAGACAAAATAGGAACAAACTGATGAGTAAAGTTTACATCTTTGAATATTAATAACATAACTGAAGATCTAACTGGCATCTGAGGTCAACTTCAGTTACAGGAAAGTGGTGGGAGAAAAATTTAGCAGAATACAAGGGAGAAGGAAAACCGCATGCCTCATATCAGATTCCAAAACCAAGTAAAAAGAGAAAAATAAAAATAGACAAGGGTGTGAGGTATGTATGAAGTAGCTGATCTTCCATAAAACAAAAGGGAAAAATAAAAGAATTCAGCTTTAAACAAGGAAGGAGTGAGTGAACAAAGTGGACCAATGCAGGAAACATGGAAAGAAGAGAGGCAGAAACAAACCTTTTGTGCAGCAAAGGGTAGCTGAAAGAAGAGAGGATGAAGTGAAAACTCCTTCAAGTTGAAAGTTTGAAAGAGCCATTGGTTGTCTGAGACAGAAAAAGAGAAAGGGGGAGAGAATGGAACAATGTTTGTGCCTGAAACTCACACATTGTCTTGGCTCTGACAGAAGTGAAGGGTGTGTATGTATTGTAGTAAAGTGAGAGTACAGACACAAAAACTGGTTTGTCTGTTTTTGGTGCCTAATGAGGAAATGTAATCATTCATCAGTAAGCCATTTCTTTTGGAAAATGGTAGGAAGTTCATGGTGGGGTTGGCTTTGGGTTCATCAAACCCATTTTCCAATACAATTAATAGTAGGTTGGATTATAATCAACAATTGAATACTCAAAAAAGAAAAAAAGTGTTTTCAAATTTAAAATTTTCTCTGTTATTTCATTTCTATAACTTTCAAATATTTATAGTTTAAAGAAATCAAATCAAATTTTAAATGTAAAAAATTGAGGCTAAGATGATAAGATGTAAAAAGGCCTTCATCTGACATTCTAATATATAGTGTTTTGTACTAACTTTTGAATTGTGTTTGTTACACAATAATTGTTTCTTCCCCAGAGTAAAGAAAACCTTGTTTTCTTTTTTATATAAATATTAAGCTTGTAGTAAATTTATATTTAGAACAAAAAGTGGATAGAAGTTTTAATATGACATAAAAAAACTAGTATTTTAAGAATGGTTTAGAAATTCATAAATGAATTATTTCTTATTTAATGTGTGATTTTTTCTAGTTTTTATTTTCTATAACTCAATTAAAATTAAAAATATAATATATATTACTCAATAAATATAAGTTAAATTAAATTTTACTTACACTTTAAAATGGAGATGAATAAGTAAGTAAAAGAGAAAAAAAAAGTAAGAAGCAGGGAATTTTGCAACCAAAAAGTGGGAAAGTGAAAGAAATTGTGACCAGACTTGACACTTTGACATTGATGAATCATGGCAATGCTTTTGAACTGGAATGATAGATTACAATCTTTCTCTCTCCTTATCATTTCCTTTGTCAATAACTTCATGGTAACACAAAAATATTTTTAAATCAATGATTTTTAATCTTATCAATATTTTATCATTTGTTTCATAGGTAAAAGAAGAAGAGTGGAAAAAAATACAATAAAATAATATGTTATTTAAAAACAGTCAAATAAACAGAAATATTTCATTAAAAAATAAAGGGTCAAAATGAAACACAAAACCTCCTAAATATTAAGTATTTTTATAATAAGCTATACATATATTATTAAAATTTAGAATATAATTAATAAGGACTGGTGACTTTTTAGTCCGAATATCTGGTATATTAAAATAATAATACTTTTTGTGTGATATAACATATAATTTGGGGCTTTTTGTCTGTATGTACAAGTTTGTCCATAAAAGTATTTGAAGAAACACTGGAATATGTATTAATTTATAAAATATATATTCAATCGTCCTTTATCATATCTTATTCTTCTATCCTCCACATGTTGCAGGAATCCTATGATGATAAAAACCCACTCTTACATAAATGAAATGAATCTTCAAATGCTAACAACCTCACCAATTTAAATAAATTGGGTTTTTTCAATAATTCACCATTCAAATGCATAATTTATTTCTATTACTTTTTTCATGTGTTTGTGATATTTTATTGTAGCCTGCACAAATTAAAAAAATAGGATAGGATTATTGATTTATGTTATTTTTTTTTAGTTTAAGTTATGATTTTGAATTATTATAATTATCAGTAATCTAATAAAGCAATTTTTATCTGTATCGTGTCCAAAAACACAAGGTTACTAACCTGTTTACGTTACTTTTGCAAAAGATAGAGAGATTATTGACATACAAAATCTTTTTATCATATTTTACTAATACATATGTTGGAAGTCCCACATCGACTAGAGATAAGGTCAATTTATAATATATAAGTGAGGTGCAAACCTCACCTTACAAGCCGGTTTTGTGGGATTGAGTTAGGCTTAAAACTCACTTCTAATTTGGTATCAGAACCATGGTTAGAGCCTATCCTATTATTACAAAGTTTTTTGTTTCAATTTTGTCAAATTATTTCAAATTTTTTAATTTTATTTTTAAAAGAAAACAAGTCAATATAATTATCATTAGTGAAATTGATAGTGCCAAACGGTAAATGTTATTTGTCTTTGTATAATACTGTGAACGTGAATGTAATACAAGAAATTATATTAACTCGTTTAAAAATAACTATTTAACATAAAATAATAGTTGAACTCTTTCAATATACTATTCTAATTTCATTCATTACGATTTTTTAAACTTACCAAACCTTTACTTAATTTTTAATCTCGTGTGGAATATTGAAGTTTGTTTGATTTGTTGTGATAATATATAGAATATAATAAAATATAAACTTGATAATATTAATATATTTACTATAGAAGGAACTGATAAATTGAAGTTATCCTGTGATGGAAATAATCTTAATTCTAATTAAGGACACTACTTAAACATGCATTACACAAATCTGACCATTACTATGACTTAAAAAGGTAAAACGTGTATTAATAAGCATGTTAACTAGGTTGTTTTTCCATAATTTTAATAAATATGAACACATAAGTTTCTAATGTAAAAATAAGAGACATCATCTAAAACTAACAACAAGGATCAAGAAAATTTACTTACCAAAAGAATTTATTTTCACAAGAAAATAATATTCATCAAACAAAATTCTAACAAATGGATAAGTGTTATGCACAAAGGACGAAATGTATTTTGAACCACATGTCTAAGATTATAATTTTTCACTACGAAGGTGAAATAAAAAAAAATCTAGAATTCTCTAAATTACATAGTACAAAGCACAATCTAGATAATTATATTTAATTTTTAGTATTTTTTTCGTACAAAATAAAATTAAGGGTTTAGGAATTTAAAATTGAAAAATGTAAATTGAAAAAAAAAATAAAAGATTAAAAACAAAAAGTAAAATAGAACACAAATTAATCCATAATTTCAAAGAATCAATAGTCTGAATCATAGTCTTCTAAATATTCAATCTTGAACACTAACTAATTCAACCAATTGACTAAATTGATTATATAAATTAAATTACAATATCATTCAATTCAATTCATGCTTATAAACTCAAGATTCACTTTATTCCTAATTTGAATTCTAATTTCAAAAACACAAGTTGATATCACATAGCAAAATCAAAATTAGCGAAAAAGAGAACAAACTCGATGCAATAATAACGATAGATCCAATAACTCAATTCATATTGTTTGATCTTGATTTTCTATCTTTTTAGGACAAAATTTGACCTCCAATAGGCTTTTTACCTAAACCTTAATTTAAAAAAAAGTCTGAAACAGTTATGGGCTTATTTGGACTTTGATCAATTAGAAGTCCAATTACAAAAGTCAAACCCATAAGATTTCTTTACAAAAGTTTAGCAAATCAATCTAAACTTTTAAAAATCATAAAAAAATAATAAAATCAATGGAACTGGAATTAAAAAAATCTCTACAAACAAAAGTTGTGGTTAAAATAGTAAGCAAATGTTAGATAACCTAAAAATTACAATTTAAAGCATTATTAAAAATGAACTTAATTTATTACTAATGACATAAAATAAACTAAAAACAAAAAAAAATAAGACAAATAGAAGTTGGAATCACCATATAATAAAATTATAATTGTGTGCATGAAATATGTTTTTTATCAAACCCCTCCTAACATGTAAACTCAATACCTTCATGAGAACATGTCATTTGTATAGCCAAATGTTCTCATTAAAGCAAATATTTTTTAAGTCAATTTGACTAGATGGAACCATGTCTTTATAGTAGTTATTATGTTAAGTTTGTACAATTAAAATTTAACATATTATTATTAAAATCATCCAACACCCTTAAAAGGTAGAGATAAAGATTCAAGTTTCTCAAACTCATCGAAAGAATAAAGTTACAATTAAGGGGGAGAAACATATATCTTTTGGTCTAAGGTCATCCTTTGATGATCCTTGTATGAGAAAAGGATAAAAATAAAGGTTAAAGTATATAAAACTTGATGATTTGGATTATGCTTAAGGAGAGCTTAGTTAAAAGGAAGAAAATAAAAAAGAAAAACTTAAGCTAGGTGAGTTTCTAGTAAAAGTTTTCAGAAAGTTCAAATATAATATATGTGTGACGAGGAGTTCAAGAGAAGAGAACATTTAAATCTCTTTGTTTCTTCTACTTTATAGTTCATTTTCTTTATCTTAAAAGTCATTTATGAAAACCTGATATGGTGAAAATGTGTTTTTAAAATACATGTTTAAACTTTATTGTTAAGCACCATGAAAAAGGCAAATATTGTTAAATCCAGTTCAATAGATTATTTGTTTGATTTTTTATTGTGTGATTAAATAACCAAGTGTAAAATATAATTTCTAAAGTACTTAAACTAGCCTAACAAATGCAAGTTGTGTGGTTTGGATATACCACAACATTATTTAAAGTGTATTTTGTCTTACATACTCAAGTTATGCACATCACACGTCAAACTTTAATCAAT